AAAATAAAAGTTGATTATTCTTTATACTGTTACTGTTATTTCAAAGCAAATACAGTGAAAAGAGTTTACATTATCTCCTCACAGATTTATCAACTATTGTACGCCGGTCAAATACCATCAAATCAATAATGAAGATTACATCAATTTTACCTCGAGTTTCGTAGAGATACCCCCTAGAGAGATGGCATGGTATAAATAAATAACTTTTTTCTCGCTCGATTAATCTATAAACGTAAAAAAACAAACACAATGACGGGGGATACCATGCAAGTATATCGCCTTTCGTCTTCAATCTAATCATTTTAGAAATAGAATAATCTAAAATGATATTCATTTTAAGATTGTTGTTTTTTTAATTTTCAGTTAAAAAGTGTGTGTTCTATCAGTTATCATATCATTAACATAAATTAATACAGTTGCCTGGAAAGAACAACAACAATAAATTGACTCCTTATAAAACGTTTGTACTGTAGGAGATCTGTCATATCCTTATTACAGCAAACAAGTCTATGCTACTTTTTGACATTTTGCTGTGTATATAACAAATTGCATCACATACATCAATATTTTCTTATGTTAACTACCGAATGACTATACTTTATTTCAATCTTTCTTTTAAAACCTAGACACCTAGACGAAATACATTACAAAATTTTGCTATCATTTTATATAAAGAATGAATTGGTACTGAACTGAACTCAACAGCTGTTTGTCGATTACAACTATGCAGTGGTAATGTTTTTGCAAACATCTACTACACAAGCAAACTGATATGAAATCACGAAAACCAGATTTTTTCTTTAATTATTTGTGCATTTGATCTGTTCTCTTGGTGATGGAATTTTCTTGTGCATACTTAAAAGCCACATTGGACACTTTTATCTTTATCCTTTCTGCATTTAAACTGTCTGAGAAAGAGTTAAACAACTATCAATTTACAACACATTGACAAAAAATGGCAATAAAGTTTACAGTGCCTATAGGACAAGAGAACGACAAGAACTTTAAATACTTATCATTAGTTTTACAAGCATCTATGTAGACAAGGCATTATTATGCGTTAAGATATATTTGAAATAGTCAGCATAGTATTATAGTTTGAAAGAAAAAGGCAGACAGAAACAAATTATTTAATGTTCGCCAGAAAGATTTTAAACTATAGTAAAACGTGTTGGAATGCTAATTATGTAATTAAACATAATAATTGCTTAACATTTGTAATATAATTTCAACATTTAAAACCAGCTAAGAATACAAGTTATTATAGTATGTTAAGGTATTTTTGACATATTTAGCATAATATTATAGTGTTAATAGAAAGTGAAAGGTTCTATATTAGTTGGTGTATAATTTAGCATACCTTTAGTTTAAGGTGTTTATTATGTTTTTATTGCAGGATGATTCATTTTATTGAATTATTTATGTTGTCAGCGTTAATGATCATTGAATGCTTTGAAGATGGAAATGCCTTCTATATTGCATTACATCCACCATATTGCATTACATTCAAATCTTTTATGAAGACATATACGTCTTTAACAAAAAATAATAATACCGAACATTACATAGTGCGTATAAACCTAATAATTACGAAACATGATAGTTTGTAGTGCCCAGTATAACCTGTTGTAAGCTCATGTAGACGGAGCCGCAAGGAGATGTTGAAAACATATATGCGTACATATAATCTGTAAAAATCTTTATCACGAATTAATCTTAATAATAATACTTCACAATGCCATTACTGTTTAGATCTACAACAATCATTTATCATGTATCAGACATCGTGTGTATAAATTATATTAATATGTGAAAGTCACGATAATCAAGTCGCACAAATCATATTGACATTGTCAATTTAAAATTGTAAAGTTGAAAAGACCTTTTAGATCGACATAAACAACGGACGCAAACAAAGTAAAATTTAAAAGTCAATATTCTCTAAACAACATATGCAAAACATTTGTTTCTATTCATTTGCTGATTATTTTTCTGACAGTTGCTTTTTGTGCGACTTGTGTTTCCTTTCATTTTTTTGTTTAACTTATTTTTTCATATTCTTTAAAAACAATTCATATAAAATGTCGATGAAGCGTTTCCGATTTAATATTATGCTTTTTTTGTACAACATACCCCGGCAAACTCCAGGGTGGTAATCTCTTAAACGTTTCAAATTAGCTTAAGTGTATCCATTTGATAATTTCCTGGACATTAAGTTAGAAATGTCATCTGAAAGGTAGCAGAGAACGGTGGCGTTATATTATCATTCTACTTGTGATCCGAGAATGGAAGCAAACAAAAACCGACATAAAAACTAAATTTATAGTTCAAAATAAAATCAAACACGAGGTCTATAAAAGTTCATATTGACAGCAGATCGCAATATACTATTTAAAATGATTATGTTTTGTTTGAGCTGTAAATATATAATGACGTCTTTTAAATTTATGCAGGTACCTTTATTTTTTTCTGAGTTCATTTATTTCAGAAGTTGACTTGTTGACGAGCCTATACTTTCAAAAGGGTCTTAAATAATGTATGCCCATCAGTCAAGAGAACATTTTAGGTATCGTTCAGAGTGATAATTGTAAGACTTTGCCGTGCCGAACATTCATATACATTGTAGAACTAAGAGATTACCGCAACTATGGAATTATTTTTTCTTCAATGTTCCAAGTTAGAATAGTTAGCACATATTTTTTTAATTAGCAAACATCAATGAATCAATATGTAAGCAATGTATAGGTTCTTCTACATTTAATTCATTTTTAACAGTTAGTTTTCTTACATTTATAAAATTCGAGGATTTTTGGCATGTCCACAAAAGAACCTCAATGATGTTATTCATAAACTACCCATAACATTGTGATACTTGAGAATTCGATTTGAAAGCAAATGTAGTTTTATCTGTTTGATATTGCTTTTACTATTTTTTTCTTTTTGCTATGACTGTTAAGTTTAACTTTTTTTATTATATTTCATACTGTCAGGCCCATGTGATGATTCAGATTACAATGCACCTAGTTATACACTGCATTCACCTTTCGACAATATTATCTGACGGTTCCTTATGCCTTAAATATCTCCTTTCTCATTTAGTTTAATACCACTCGGTCAACGGGAAAGGCATAATTGTCGGTTTATCGGCCTTAAGAGGTTCTAGAATATAAGTATTGTATGACGTCAAGCAATTCATTTACTTACAATGAAGCAATTACTACGTAAATTGAGCATAATGCTTCGTTCTTTACTGAGCTTTTCTACTATTTCCATTTAAGCAGTTACTATTTTGCATGTATAATAGAGGTGTTAAAACAGGCTCTGTAAATTAAACAAGAACCTTTGAGTGCATTATTTCATCAAGCCAAACGTATCAAACGAATATATGTAATGCACTTTGTAAATGTAACCCTAAATATAACTAAATTGGCTTCAATTGTTTGACAATGCGAGATACTTGACTATTATTGTCAGTCATTCAGTCATTACCAATACACGACCCTCAAGAGTTTTCTTTTCAATTACTTTGTTATTGTACTGTGATGTAGAGTTCTGTAAATATCATATCCCTGAACATAAATAAATGCTGGTGGTCATCATAATATCTGGTAATTGCCCATTCACTATACATTATTCCCGGGATATTTCAAATACTGTAACAAACGAATGTCCATTTGGTAACATCAATATCTTAACGTGAATTACTAACTGACATTACATGCTGTGATGAACTACATATTAGGGAGGTTTCTGAATCTAATAACATATATCATTCCGAACCAGACATGTTCGTATTTGTAAGATAATGCTGCTTGCCAAGACCTTTGGAACACGGGAACAAATAAATTAATAAAACGACATTAACAACAAAATAAAATTTAGAAAACTACAATATAAAAACAACAAAAAAGTGAATATAATACAAACAACTCCATAAAATGCATGATTGTTTAAATAACTTTAGAATCTCTACTATGGCTAGTGGAATTCATTAATTAAACATTCTAAAAGAAGAAATCAATTGTTTGAACGCAAAAATCATTTTTAAAACAGTAATTACATAAAATGTCATTATATCTTTCTTTCCGTAATAAATAGACAATTTTCTTTTATTTAAAGCCGGTAAGGATACACTGGTGAGATATGAAAAAATGGGTTCAAAATTTAAGATCGGTTCGTAAAAGAACAAAACAGAAAAACAAACAAACAAAATAAATAAATAAATTGCATTATGTTTTGTTTAAAAACAAGAAGACTGCACAATATCGATTGAATTGAACAAATATTTAAATAAGAATTAATATTCCCTATTTCCATAAATTAAAGTGACATTATGCTCATATTTTCATAGACAAGTTGAGATGAATTGACTATATATTTCAGAAGATTGGCTGTTAAAATGGTGATTGACCAACAGATCATATTGAAAAATGTTTTGGATAGAATTTAAATCTACCTAAAATATAAAAAAAGACTGCCCCACTATGTTATGAATTGAACGTTACAGGTAAATTCTTATGAATATTTACGAAAAAATTCGTGTTGATCCATGCGTTGTTTATTGTCATTGTGAAATGAATCTATATATTAAAAGAAATTATGGAAAGATAAAAAAATATTTTGACTTTCACCTGTTTACTCATTTATACCCTTGGATGGACAGAATGTCATTTTAATTACATATTAAAGAACATTTTTCTCTAGCTAATACATGTATCTACGTAAAGTCATTTTGAAAATTGTTGTAAAAGTGATATACTTTTATTTCAAAATATGTAATACGATCTTTACTGTTATATATGTGTGCCTCGCATTTATTTTACTATGAGATTAGTGATGATGATTAGTTAGGATTTAATAGTTATAATTAAGGGACGTGAAACGGATGAAAGCCCGCAAAAAGTGGTAAAATTATAACGCACATTCAATATGAACAAGATAAATGTATATCAATTTAAAAGAACCCTGACAATTGGAGTGAAAACTTATGACACACTTACCGTTTTCTGCACAAACTGCGATTAATGTTACAATCCAGACGCTAACTATAGTAGTAGCGAAAGTAGCCCTCCGTACTTCCTTGCACCATCCTATTGTCATTTTGCTCACATAATTTCTAATTAGTCTTTAGATTATGTTTCAATAAATCCATCTATATGCAAAACTTACACTTCTGTTTATCCATAAGTATAGAAATGTAGAGAAAAGGCAATTAGAGCCTCCATTATGGCTGCAAAGATTCTCTAAAACTCCAAATCAAGCTTCCCAGGAATAACATCCAATTTGCAATCATAGGACGAATATTTTCACGAATTCGGCACACTCCAGACCAATTCCGTCATTATTGTGCTATTCAACACGAATATGGTCAGCGTACTGAGAAGAAACAGCGCCGCTGAATGAAAATTCAGAATCAGAAATCTACAAATCACTCTACACAGACGATTGCTTCTTTTCAAATCAATGAATTTCAATAGATTCCTTTGATTTCAGCGGAGGTTTTCAATTACAATTCAAGCATTAATGCACGCTCGCCTTAGAAACTTGTTGCACATATGAGATGTTTTAAGAAACTTGTTATGTTCAGAGGGGTTCTGCTGCAACAGAAAACAAATTATAGTTGATATATGTGGTGAAAGGATAATTAAATTATTGAAATATGACCCTAAGGATTAATTGTGAGCAAGAATAAGAAAGTACGTAACTGCAACCTTATCACTTTGCCAATTTCTATGAGTATGGTATATTGATAAAAAGTGTAGATTATTTGAAAGTTTTTTTATCTTGTCTGTTCTGTTTGTAGATCTATTCTTAAACTCATTAAATGATAAAATGACAGAACAACTAGTAGAAATCATTTTTTTGCGAATAGTGTCGAACTCATTTGACAAATGATCTAAAAAGCTGTTTATTGAAATATAAAAGACATTACTCTAAATCAATAAAATTACATTTTTTTCATAGCAGTTAAACTTAACTAAAATGGCGTACAGTTCAATACAGAAAACTTCTGTAAAAGTATGTTCAAATGAATACAAATTTTACACCTGCTTGTAATAAATCATATCCCGCAAGACTTACACAATACAGTTTAACACCAGCAAAAAAATGAAGGAATGTTGGATTGGCGGTTATAATTGCTCCAGGGTATCATTTGTTTTCAGTGACTTAGTTTTTGTATGTAGATATATTGTATTTGAAACAAAAGCCTGTCGAAAATATCTAAGAAGTGAGAATGTGAGACGGCGCAAACAAAACATTTGCCAGCATTTGATCAACACGGTCTGTCAGTAATGTTTATTTTATTCTGACGATTTTCAAAGGTTGTTGTTCTTCCATTTGCCGTCAATATCTCATACACAGAGGAATTAAAACAAATTGTTTATTTTTATATAGCTTTGATCCTAAAACGATTCAAAATCAATGAGAGATAGGGTTTGTAAACGTGGAAAAGTAATTAACGTTGGAAATGCTTTTTATACATATTGAAAATCTACTGATATCTATTTAGATATATGAAGTAGCAAATATATAGAAATATTTGTTATTGAGATACCGATTATTTACCGGATATATCTTATAATATTCTGAAATCCTCAACTTCATTATATGAGTATTTATTAGATAAAATCATATATTTAATTTACTAACGGATTTTCATTTTATCAGTTCTAGATTGTTTTTCTTTATAAAGTTTACAGAATAAAGGCTCTAATTTAATTAAAATAAACAAAAAGTGTACGTAATGTTAAACAGGCATGTATTTATACTTTGTACTTACCTTTTATAATTTAAATCCCAAATAAGTTTTCGTTTATCCCAACAAAGTTCTAGGACTCGATGAAAATTACAACATTAAATCCATAAATTTTTTTTATAAAATCGTTTAATTTTTCTCAAGCACTCAAAATAATTCAGCACAAATTCACTTAAATAATCTTTTATATAGTGGTTTGATTATTCCGACACAAGATGCTTCTGTATTAAACTTGCGAAATTCATATTATAGCATGCACGCACTAAAATACTTTACTTCACTTTATCGCAAGTGTTTCCATTAAAACACGCATAAAATGTTCCCACTATGTTTCAATTTTAATCCTACTTGAAAGCTACTCCGATATATTTGTTAAAACCACATGCTATCTTCCCGATGCTAGATGCCAGTGTTACACTAACGAAGAGTAGACGAGTAGTCCAATATGATTCAATATGCTTCTACAATATTGCCAATATCATTGACTGGTGAGGAAACGCCGGCATTCAAACTGTAAACATCGATAACGTCTCATCACGGAACCCGACTGTTCTTTTCATTCACGCTCCGCCTGGTAAAACGTCGAATAAAGGACTTGTATTGAACGCAAGCAAGTTTCTGGTAATGAAAACACTTTCACCACCGGCTCAATAACTTCAGACGTGTGCGTCTGACAAAGGAGATCTCAGCCAATTAGTACAGTAAATAGAACGATATTGTCATTTTAATGGAAATGGGAACGTAACACTTGAAAATAATGAACATGGTAATTAAAATAAAAGAAATTTCTTGTTCGAGAAAGACAAGCGATGTCAGTGAGTGCTTTATTATTACAGAAAGGCGTGAAATTGTTAAATGTGCAGAGTTGTCCGGATAACGTTCCGGATAATGTCTTCTATACAAGCGTTATACTTTTCATCAAACATGCCTTTGATCTGCAGTTTGCAATTTGAATACGCGTCACTATGAAGGGAACTTTTAATTTATTGTTCTTACGCTCATTTTATAACATAGGAATATATGTGTATATAGAATCTACACTTTACATAGTGTCTTTTTGAATTCTAATTATTAACAATTTATATGATCTTTTAATTGAATTAGTGTAGGAAAGGTTGCGTTTGACTTGCGTATTGTTTCTCAAAATTAAATTAAATTATATAAATGTCCACTTTTTTGTTATACATGTTAAAGTGATAATTGTATTTTCGTTAATTTTTCGTTCTCAAAATTGGAAATATCACATCTGAAATAATTAAGCAAAGTAGATTGCTGGATTGATCCAATGAAAAGAAAAGAAAAATATATTACCAACACAGTTGTGCTCACATATAGTACATATGTACATTGATAATATGAATTAGTGTACACGTGATTTAACCGATGCTGCAAAATAAGAGATAATGAAATAAATTAGAATTGTATAATCACTGAATCATTCTACAAATTTCATGATGCGATTATGAGATTCCTCACATTCAGAGTAATCTGTACATGCAGCATTACATCTGTTTAACTTTACAAGTAATTTAAACTTCATTTGTATTATGTATGCACTATTATATTTGACTTTCATATCGCGCCCAGATATGTGAAAAATAATCCTACATTTAATAAAATTAACTTAATCAATAGATTATTGTGTTTCAAGTTCACATTTATGTAAATATTGTATCACTAGGTTAAACTAGATAAAGAAAATAAGAGTCCGTCTTAGTTGGATATTTGAAATTGACTCATATTTATATATGTTAACTTATTATTATTACACGTTTTATTTCGATACCATGTTACTTTCCTTTACGTTCTTGAAACAATTTAAACACTTGCGAAGAACATTTCAACACTTACATAAAAACAGCCACGTCCTATCCATCAATGATCACGTTAATTACATTCATGTGTTTCATGTTTATAGTCTATGTATTTTTTTTTCATACATTTCCTACAAGTTGCAATAAAAAGTTTATATATGAACAACCATTACGATGTTTGTTATTCGTTTTCTTAGAACAGACTCCATTGGAGGTTTTAATGCGGGGATAAAGGTGTGTCTGTGGGGCGTTTGGGTGGGTTCGGGGGTTACTACCAAACAACTAGACAATTATATTTCCCTAACATCACATAAATCAAACTATTAATTATATATACATTACTATGATACATTATATGAAAATTGCTTTTGCCAAAAAAAAAGGAAAATTGGACTGGAGTATATAACGCGACGGTAAGTATTTAAGGTGGTAAAAAGGCTATACCGAGTTTCCGCTAAACATACCGGAGAGCTAGATATTCCCGTATGTGACAACATCTTGTATTTGTTTCTTTTTCTTGCATATAATATACATTTCATATTTCAGAAAGAAACTACATAAACAAATTTATAATTAATATTAACTATTTTATTTCTTTAAACTTGCCCCTAATCAAAGATTTCAAATCAAACCTTAACAGAAGGGACATACATAGGGAAGGATTTAAGGTCCTGTTAAAAACAGCACCTTTCGTTTCGTTTAGTCGCGTATAAAATTGACAATTCATTCATAACGGCGAAATAACGTTATCCTAAACATGCAAAAACATTCATAAAAAGCGCCCAGGAATGACGTCATTAAAAGCACTTAAATTATCTCACACGAGGGTGTAAGACAGATTTTTTGTGGCACTAGTGCAAACATAAGAAAATCGTTCTGATATGCAAAAACAATTGGTGTGATACTACAGAAATGATTAATAATGCGTTGATTGTATTGATTTAGAATTATTCGTTTTATTAAGCTGGTAACATTAAAATATGTTGTTGTACTATACAATTATGGATTGGTAAAAAGGAATACTTATGATTATGTTTTTGTTTGATTTATTGATCAAACCAATAAGTATAAACAGGAAGGGATCAAGATATGTACTTTACTTCCGTTCACTTTCTACAAAACGATCTTCCAATATGATCAACAAGGAAGGACGGCGTTCAATGAACGCAAAACCTATATATCTACCAATCAATGTTTACCTATACAATTATGGATTGGAAAAAATGGAAATAATATTGATTATGTTTTGTTTGTTTGGTTGATTGATTAACCCCCTTCGTAAATTTTAGCAGAAAGGGATCAAGATATGTACTTTACTTCCATTCATTTTCTACTAAACGATCTTCCCAAGACCTATATATCTACCAATCAATACACATCAATATATTTTTATTGTATCAACAATATGAAATATTAAATTAATCGAGCACATTAAACGAAGCTGTTAGCGATTAGTTGTAAGTACACATTTAATGTTACACCAGGTACACATGCGGAAGTAATTATCAATTGATAATTAATATAAAAATATATTAATATATTCCTATAACAACAATTAATGTATGTCAATAATTACTAAATGTAAATGAGTTATTTAAGTCTGATTAAGCATCTGATAAACATATGGTGAAAAGAATTGTATGAAGGTACGTTATAACAAACGTCGTAAACTAACGAAAATCCTCTCGAAAATTTAATGAGTCTCTGTTCAATATTTTCAAACATTTCCCTAACCTTATCCCGTTATAGCTTAAATATGTACTTCCTTTCAAGACAGACTAGTCAAACCTGTGCGCTTTTTTGAAGATATAAATGTAAAAGTCTGTTTGTACATGTACCTATGGACTTGCTTGGAAACGCCAAAATATTCTTAATTCCGGAGTGAGTATATTGATTGCAATGTACCTAAACTTTCTGAAATTAGATGGAGAATATTTTTGCTGAGTCAGAAATATAATATACATGACACCATATTCGTTGCTTTAGAAGTAGATAAATCAACACTGTTATTGTTTTAATCTCATAATAGCACGCACTTGAATAAATATTGTATGAATCAAGACGAATAAAGTAACTATTACTTGTAAAAACTGTGAACAGTATTGTTATATTTTTCTGGTTCTTCGGGATCATTGATGCCAGCACTTTTAAGTGTTGAGAATCGAGTACCGCTCTTGAGTACCGCTCAAGCCGGTGCTAGGGGGCGTGAGGGATGTTGCACTTATTTTGTTTCCTGGTTTTTGTATAAATCATTATCAATGTATGTAACCTTTGCTCGTTATTTAAACGATTGGATGTCCATATACTATAATAACTTAAGTTTTGTAATAAGTTTGTATCAAGGCTTGTTTCTATCAACGTACCCTGGTCTTTATTCAATCTCTCGGTTTATTAGAGTTGGAACAATATGTGTATCGTACTGAACCAAATTAACTTCTGTAAAAAAATAAAATAAGATAAAACAACAAAAACATTTATTCTCAAATTTACTTGAACACGACAGTTGAACTCACAAAAGATATTACAAAAGTTGAAAAAGTTGAAAAAAAATTAGGGTTAATAATTTTATGTTTTCCAAGATTGTTGTGACAATGGTGAACGTCAATTTTACATAACTTTATAATTCATAACTTACCGTCTGTAGACATTCAAGTGATTTATGAGGACAAAATGCCTGTTTAAGAAAGAAATCAATACATTAGAAACGCATCATCTGCATATAAGAATGCATTATAATTACTGATGATCATCTCTTAAATCAACACCTTGAATTAATCAAATTATTTTGAATTGAAGATTTTTAGATCATTACACAATATGACAGACATTGCTCCGAGGGCTAGGCATCATACATTTGTACTATAAACGTTAAATTATTTGTTTTATGTTGAGTTTGTGGTGTAAACGCTATTTATTGACAAACAAAGCGAATATTCAACCCTTTAATTTTGATAAAACCTACGAATGTTTTAAAATTATAATATCAATGTGATAACAGTAAATATTCTTTTACGTACATTAACATCTGCAGAATCTCGGTGAACAATTTAGATACGATTAAAGTAAATAAATGGCAATGCTTCAATAGATGAAATGGCACAGATAAATTGTAAATTTGAACTATTATTCCATAAAATAATACATCTGATTTGGTAATACCACATTTTCCATTCTTCATATAAAGCGCGATGTTATCTGACTGTTACGTTTGGAAAAATTAAAACAAGAACAATCAGATGCGTCAAAAAGAAATAATAGACACAATTTATAGTGTCGTCAACAAGCTCAATCAAACTTTTGTTTTTCAATGTTTCCTTATTTTATTCTTTTTTCTTGAAGGTACTTGTTTTTTATTTATTTATATAAATTTATCAACAACACGATAATATTACTTACTAGGCAAAGAGAACTTGAAGCATCGGCAGTAACACATGTTTCTTTCTAGATTGTAGTAAGACTTAATTCTACTTATAACAGGTTAATCATATGTCATGATATCATTGACGTGATGTGTCTCGGAAAATGTTCAAACGAATCTTACACAATGACACTTTACACAGTATATTAGATTTGTGCAGTAATTTTCTTCGACGAACCTTGTGCCGCACAATAAGTAAATGTTGCCAAAATGGTTATTTTCACCAAAAACTGCAGACTAATTGATCATGTTCCGCCTACATCGTTCGCTTAAAAAAGAAAAAAAGTAAGTATTTGGAGAGCTCATAAGGCGGGTTGACCTGGCATTTAAGGCACACAATAAAAACCTTACCGTGCGAGAGGGTACAGTCGCAGACATTTGATTCACATACAAAAGAAAAAAAATATGTTTTGGCATCAGAACATAAGC